ATGCAAATGAATCACTTCTTTGAGAAACCGTCAGTATTTTGCTCTTCAAAACTCTTTCCAATTATAATAGTCTATGATCCTAGAATAAATTTCTAATGTGGTTTTGGTGTGAATCCATTTGGTACTCTTGGAAGTGCTTTTCAAATTTTAATGTATATATGAATCATCTGGAGAGGGTGATAAAATGTATATTCTGATTCACTACTTCTAGGATGGTGTGGTGCTGTGGGGTAATGTGCCAGACTGCAAAGCCATTTGAACTATAAGGTTGGCAGTTGGAAACCCTAAACAGGGTCGCTATGGGTTGGAATTGACTCCACAGTACTTATCAACAGCAACAACTTCTAGGAAAAGGTCTAAGAGTTTGCATTTCTAATAAGCTCCATTACTAGCATATGGACCACATTCTGAGTAGAAAGATTTAAGAAAGTATTGTGATGTTTGTGGTAGTTCATAATGTAGGAAGAACTAAGAGCAGTTTGCTTTTCTCCCTGGCTTGATTCAAGCAGGTTTTCTGTTTTAGAAATATCCCTGGGAAATAGTTGTGAAGATTGTTGAAGATAGCTTTTCCAAAATAAAAATCATTTTTATTCCCCATGATAGGGAAATAAACTATTTTTGTGCTCAAACCAGTCCTAATTTATCATCTACAGACTTGACTCCAAGGATTGTGTGATAAAATGCAGTAATAAAATGCTTCTTTATTTGTTGTTGGCTATCAGGTAGCGTAGTGGTTACAAATCAGGCTGTGAGCCACAAGTTCAGCAATTTGAAACTACCAGTTGTTCCATGGGAGAAAGATGAGGCTTTCTGTTTCCATAAAGATTTATAGCTTTGGAAACCCTGTACAGGGTCACTATGAGTCAGAACCGACTCCATGGCACATAACAGCAACAACAAATCTGGACTATAAGGTTGGTTTGCACCGCAAGGCCAGCAGTTAAAGCCCACCAGTAACTCCTCGCAAACCTTATACAGAGTCACTATGAGTTGGAACCAGCTTGACAGCACTTCACAACAACAATCAAGTAAGCCATGGTCTTTTCAATAATCTCGTGTGCATGCAAATGTTGGACAGTGAATAAGGAAGATCATAAAAGAATTGATACATTTGATCTTTGGTGTTGGAGGTGAATATTAAAAGTACCATGGACTGGCAAAAGAACTAACCAGTCTGTATTGGGAAGTGTACACCCAGAATGCTCCCTGGAAGCCAGGATGGCCAGACCTCATCTCTCATATTTCAGAAATATTGTCAAGAGAGAGCAGTTCCTGGAGAATATCATCATGTTTGGTAAAATGGAGAGTCACACACAAAAAAAGAAGAAGACTGTCAATGAGATGAATTGGCACAGAGGCAGTAGAGCTCAGGTGAAGCAGTGATTGTGAGGTTGGCTCAGGCCCAGGCAGTGTTTTGTTCTGTTGTGCCTAGAGTCCCTATGAGTCAATACTGACTAGATGGCACCTAACAACAACAACATCAAGTAAGCACCAAACAGCAGAAGTCCCTCCGCCTTGTTTGCATCTGTATTCCCAGCACTTACAACAGTGCTTTGATGCTTTGCTCCATTTGTTCAGTCCTCCTATAATGGCCTTTCCTCTCCCATGTTTTTGCCTATCCTTCCAGGTAAAAATAAAAGTCCAAAAAGAGACCATTGGATAGAACTATTAACAGCATCTAGAGAATCTCAAAAGTACTCTTAAGATAAGTGGGAAGGATGGGGCATGGAGAATAAGTATGTATATTTTGGAGATACATGTGGATATGGTTGATAAAGTAAAGTGGATTTCAATCGGAATACAAATGTTTAAAATACAATGCAATCTCAGAAACTTAAATTTTTTCTTGTGTACATATTTAGTAATCACTGTTCATCTGCCCAGAGAGAGTGTTGTACAGCACTTGAAACAAAAGCAACCTATTTTCCAGAGATAGCAAGGAAAGAGAGGAACATCAACCAACATGATCAAATCAAAATATATAGAAACATGAAATCAACAATAGCAAAATAAACATTCTTTTCAAGTACCTCCGGACATATGTCATATTGACCACAACCTGCACAATAAAGCAAGCTCAACAAATTTAAAGGAATTTAAATCATATTCTCCTACTGTTAGAAATGAATCCTGATGTCACACAAAAGACACTAGGTAAGACTAAATTACCTTGGCAAAGCAAAATTTACTCCTGAAAAGGGGTGCATGTGCATAGCCATACAGGAACAGGACACTGAGCACAATGAGTGGGCAGTCCACTCTGGCTTTTAATCTCTGATGCAAATCTTGAGGCTGTGTCTCACCCCATTGGCTACGGCTTTGACCGCACAATCTTTTCCCTTACCCGGTAGGCTAGTTCATATTTCTAAGGTGAGCATTCCCATTTCAGGAAATAGGAAAAAATGCAGAAGAGAGGTCATACAGACCCTACTCACTTCAGGAAATAGTAAAAGGAATAGAAAGATCAGATCGTAAAGTCTCTGCTCACTTTGGGAAGTAGTCAAAGAACAAGAGAGATCATAATGTCTTTATTCATTTCAGCAAGTAGCAAAAGAAAAAAAGAAAGGTCACCTGAATACAATAAACAGGGTTATAATAATTTTTGAAGAAAAGATATTCATTCCCACACTACCACAATACAATCAAATTAAAATTTAATAACAGCAAAATCTCCAAGCACTTGGAAACAAACATCATACTTCAAATAATCCGTGAGTCAACCAGAAAATCTCAAGAGAAACTTCAAAAGAAACAAACAACTAAAACATTGATGAATTAAAATAAAACATGTTGTAGTTGTTGTTAAGTGCCATAGAGTCGGTTCCAATTCATAGCGACCTGCACAGGTTTTCCGAGGCTATAAATTTTTACGGAGCAGAAAGTCTCATCTTTCTCCCATGGAACAGCTTGTAGTTTTGATCTGCCGACCGTGAGATTAGCAGCCTAATTCGTAACCACTACGCTAACATAGCACTATACAATTTTTTGGGCACATCAAAGGCAGTTCCGAAAGGGAAGTTTATAAGAACAAACGCATAGTTTAGAAGCATGAGAAAGCCTCAAAAAGTCTACATTTCCACCTCAATAACCCACACCCGTAAGAAAAGAGAAAAATAAGTCTAAAGCAGAAGGAAAAAAATAATAAACATGAGACTAAATCATTGAAATTGAAAGCAGAAAAACATTAAGTAAACATATGATTTAATGGTTACGAATCGGGCTGCTAACCTGAGGTTCAGCTGTTCGAAACTACCAGCTGTTCCGCAGGAGAACGATGAGGCTTTCTGCTCTAGTAAAGATTTACAGCCTCGGAAACCCTGTACAGGGTCGCTATGGGTCGGAACCTACTCCACTGCACATTAACAACAATGATTTAATGGAGCCTAGAAAACAATTGAATGATATCTTTAAAATGCTAAAGGAAAAGTAACCTGACCATTTGGAATGTTATATTCACTGAAACTACCCTTCAAAAATGCAGAAACTCTTGTCTCCATCTCTTATCGTTGTTGTTCGTTTCGACTCATAGCGACCCTGTATAGTATAGGATTTTTGAGGAGCAACTGGTGTATTTGAACCACCGATCTTGAAGTGCAACCAGACCTTGTGGTCCAGTGCAAGACCCCACATCTCATTAGTCAAACAAAATTATTTTCATTTATATATTGTTTGGATCATTATAAATATCTCCCAAAGAAGAGGTTTGAAAAAATATCCTGCTTAAAAATTATTTAGGCATGGCTGAAGTATTTAATCAGAGGATTTACACAGGCTGAATCTTCCTTTTAAAAAACAGAAGTTCAGACAACTTCTTAAATGTGTGTGTTTGGAAATACAAGATCTCATTCACATTACAAAACATAGTAATTTTGTGATTTGTTCATAGGGAACACTAAGTTTAAGTGTTTTTCTTGAGTATGGATTTAAAACATTATCATTACCAACAAGAAAAAATATAAGTAGAATCTCTGTATCCTGCGATTTTCACAAGCTATTTAAAGCTAATAATAACCCATAAGGAAGACAAATATATCTAGTCTGAGCCTTGGTGTAGTGCTGTAGAATAGGTACTGGACTGCAAGTTCAACAGTTCAAACCCATCGAACACTCGGTGGGAGAAAGTTGAGGCTTTCTGCTCCAGTAAAGATTTACTGCCTTGGAAAATTTATATATGGTTGCTATGAGTCAAAATAGATTCAATAGCAGTGGGTTTGGGTTTTTTTTATATCTACTCTAAATGCTTTATCCATTTATTTTAAAACTGTATACTCATTCATGTAGAATCCTAGTGTGGTGCCATAGGAGAAACTCTCAACATCAAGGCATGTTTGCACTGCAAGGTGGTGGTTCAAACTCACCAGCCATTCCTAGAAAACCTACACAGGGTCATGGTGAGACAGAACCAGCACTTAACAATAACAACAACATTCATGTAAGAACACAAGGCTAGTGAGTGCTCAGCTACCATACTGTACATTGTGATGAAGTATTCTTTAATGGAAGCCTGATCAGATAAGAAAAATTTCAGAAAATAATTTCAAATTTTCATAGACTCCAGACATTCTTGAGACACAGAAGCTGGGTAAACCTCTAAAATGATTGCCCTGACATAAGCTTTAAATCTTAAACCAAAAATATCCCATGAGTGCTTCTTAAAATCAACTGCATTGAGCATTATACTATTTTAAGAACTGTCTATATAGGATAAAATTGAGAATTGTATCTTCAAAGATTAGATAGAATCCTTATGAGGGCATGGGTTTATGTTAATGGGGAGGAACAACTCAAAAAAGTGTTGCACAATTGGAAGAATATAATTAATGTCACTGAATTATTCAAATAGTAACTGTTGAGTTGTTATATTATTTTCATGTGTATATTCTCAACAGCAACAACAACAACAACAAATTTAAGAAAAGCAAACACAGGACTAGGTATTATGATTTATTTAAGCAGACAGTGAAATGGAAAAAATAGTAAAATATTTTCTGAAGACACATTTATTTCTTTATAACTCTTCTCAGTGCACTTAAAACTTCTTTGTTTCTTAGACTGTAAATAAAGGGATTTAGTAAAGGAATTATAATTGTGTAGAACAGTGAGTACATTTTATCCTGATATTTCCTTGGACCAGACCCAGGACGCACATACATGAAGAAGAGAGTACCATAGAACAAAGAGACAGAGAGCAGATGGGCACTGCACGTAGAGAAGGCTTTACTTCTGCCCTTTTCAGACTTCTTTTTCAGGATGGCAAAAAGGACACGAGTATAAGAGACTATGATGGTCATAAAAGTAAAAGCTTGTATGAAAGCAGCAAAAACAAAAACCACCAATGCATTAATGGATGGATCAGTGCAAGAAATTGTATATAGTGGCAAGATTTCACAGTAGAAATGATGTATTATATTGGACCTGCAGAAAGTTAATCTAAATAATAATCCTACATGAATGACAGGATGCAAAAAACCAACTGCATATGAAATACTTATTAAGCAAGTGCACAGTCTGTTGGACATCACCACTGGATAAAGTAAAGGGTTACATATGGCAACATAGCGGTCATAGGCCATCACTACCAGGAGGAAACATTCTGTGGTTGCGCTGGAACCAAAAAAATAATATTGGGCCATGCACTCAGAGAGGGATATCATCTGACTTTTGTCTAAAATATTGACAAGCATCCTGGGAGTCACAGAAGATGAAGTACAAGCATCTGCAAAGGCTAAACCACCAAGAAATAAGTACATTGGCGTGTGAAGATGGGGGTCCTTCCAGATGAGGGCAATCAGTCCAAGGTTTCCCAACATGGTGATTAGGTAGATTACTAAAAACACGATAAATAGGGGGGTCTGCAGCTCTGCACGATCTGTAAGCCCTGTCAGAATAAATTCTGTCACCACAGTCTTGTTTGTCTCCATCATTTCCACCCAAACTGATCACTGTATGAGAAAGTAGGTAAAGAAAAAAATAGTCAAAGTTTGCATAAAATTATATCAGATTGCAATGTTGTATTCCTGTGTAGGATATCCCTTACTTAACAAATACATAGATAAAGTGTTTCTCTTTTGAAAGACACACAAAAGACGTTAAATATTTTATACATGATTTTGAGAAATAAGGTTTAAAATACATATAATTCAAAGTATTATGGAGGAGTAGATATCCTTTGACTAGGTCTAAACACTTACCACTTGTGAATAACTTAAAATTGAATGCACTATCAATGAAATTTTATTCTATAAGGAATGAAAAATGCATACTATATTTTATGATAAAATCTATTTAAATAAGACTCTGATTCTGGTTTAAAATAATTTTTCACTTTCTTAGGAACACTTTCAGATTTTTTCTTCTAAACAAAATGTGGGATCTATTTTTATTATTAATAATGTATGTATGTTATTCTTCCCACTTAAGACATTAATGAATTGACTAATACAACAGGAAGTTAAAGTCTACTTCTGCTGTCTTCTTCCATTATCATTGTCTTACTCGATTCTACATTAGTCAAGCCACTTTAATAGACATTATAATTTTTCCCAATAAACTCTTTTATGACAGGGCTTTAAATTCATGGAAAAACTACATTAGTTTAATTATGTTTTGCAGAAACTTTTTGAAGCCTCCTCATAAATGAACACAATAATTCATTCATTTTGTTGTTGTTAAGTGCTGTGGAGTCAGTTCTGACTCATAGCAATCCTGCATAGGATTTCCAAAACTGTACATCTTTGCAGGAACAGAGAACCACATCTATCACCGACCTATGGTTCACAGTCCAGTGCTTATTCTATAGAACCACCACACTCCCCAATTCATTCATATAGTCAATAGATATTTAATATTACACTATACTGAGTATCATATTGAGTATTTATCTATAAAGAATAAGTTAAACATACTCCATTCTTACTTCAGTTACACACATAATTTCCAATTCTGATGTTATACAAATGCTTCTAAAATAACTCCAATTTTAAGAGGAGAAAGAAAAACAAGAACAAAGATACTAACCAGCTTGATTGCAGATTTTAAATTCAAGAAGTATCATTAAGCATGCTGCTGAAGGTAGATCATTATTCAGTTAATTAGGAATATATTTTAATATTTCAAAGACATAATTTTAAAGAGCTCTTAAGGATTTGTTTTACTGCTCTTTAAAAAATTGTTGACTACTAAAGTCAGGAGTGGTAGAGGTTGTGGTAGTGTGCTGTTGAGTCGATTCCAACTCATAGACCTTATATTGTGTTTCCTAGGCTGTAAATCTTTATGGGACTAGAAAGCCTCATCTTTCTCTCATGGAGTGACTGGTAGATTTGAACTGTTTACCTTGAAGGTTAGCAGCCCACTTTGTAATCCACTATACCAGGTTCCTTATAAAATTGTTAAGGCAGAAAAGAACCCAAAGTTAAAAATGTGCTCTTGAGTTTTACAATCCTGGATAGCATTGAGAAATCCAATGAAAATATCTAAGGTGTCAGCATCATCACTTCAATGTGTTTCTTTATGGACAAGTTGTGTCTATTCTGAACAATAGATATGGTTCATATATTAAAGTCCCTTCATTAATAATCTAAAGCAGGATTTATCTAATTAGATACAGCTGATCAAAGTATAAGGAATCCTGGTCATGATCAAAGTGTATAACCATTCAAGGGACTATTTACAAGTTTTAAGTACACAATTCCTGAGGTTTTCTGACAAGATCAGCCAAGTATGTGCCATACACATACAAATTATTATTTTTACATCCAACTCACCAATTCTGCATAGATATAGCTAAAGACTGCTGCACTCCCCAACTTTAGCCTGAAACTAACTTTCTTAAAGTACTCACTTTGTATTGTAAATAGAAGAAACAAAAAGGGAATTTTAAGAACAATAGGGTTTGTGAAACAGAGTTTTGAGAAGAATAATCCTAAAACAATAGAAATATATGGAAGAATTGGGGTATTTTACATAAAAATGCACTTAGGGTTTTTTTTCATTGTAAAAGGGGGTAAAGAGCCCTGGAGGTACAATGGTTAAGCAGCTTGGCTTCCAAGCTAAAGATCATCTGAATGAGAAAGATATGGCAGTCTGCTTCTTAAAGATTTTAAAAAAAAACTATTTCTATTGAGTTGGTTCCCACTCATAGGAAGTAGACTGTCACATCTTTCTTGCCTAGGCCTAGAGAGTTTGGGTGGTTTCCTCTTGAAGCTGAGATCTTTAACCAATGTGCCACTGGGTCCTTTATCATTGGCATCAACTATATGGCAATGTCTTGGGCTTCTTTTGTACTTTCTGGAGAAAAAATATTTTCCATCTTCAAAATAGAAAAAAAGCATTGGGATTTATATTAGACATTAAAATGAGCTAACAGAGAAATTGAGTATGTTTGCAGTAATCATTGATAAACACTTTTAGTGCATCACTAAAAGTATAACAGGGTTATATTTATTTTATACTCTTCCAAGACTATAACAATAAGGTATGGGTCTTGACAGGTGTGATGAATTATTCTTTCTGTATATTTCCAAAGGAAAGTACTAAAAAAGCAAGATTGAGGAGGAAGGCTGAGACTCCCTTTAGAAGCTCATATTCCTATGATTCTTCGCTATTAGAAAATCCTGCTTAATTCTGTGAGGTTTCCAAAGTAAAAGGCAAAATTAATTTTACTTTTTAAAGACACAAATAAATTCTAAAAAGATAGATAGGTTCTATATCTAATTTTCCTTACAAAGAATTTTTTTTTTTTTTTAAATAAAAATTTCAGAAACTTTGAAACTCAATTCTGCCTTTAAATTAGGTAATGATGCCTAAGCCACTTTACAACTCTGGTTTTAAGATTCTTATCTGTAATGCATTGAATTATTTCCAAAGTTCATTTCTACCTACATTCTATGAACTATCCTTACTCTCTTTGCTGTTTAACAGGCATCTTAGCATACTGATTAAGCATATAGACTCGAATTCAACTATAAGACTTCAAACCTTATTTCTACAAATAGATAGCTTTGTGACCATACATATTCACAGGAGTTAAACAAAAAGTTTACCCAGGTATTAAGTTGATTCTGTTTCATTTGGTACAGAAATAATTCAAGGGAAAAAAAAAAAAAATCAGGTATTTGGCAGCTCGTGAGAACTCATGTTGTTCTTGAGGGCTGTCAAGTCGATTCTGACCCATAGCAACCCTGCATAGGGTTTCCAAGGAGCAGCTGGTGAGCTTGAACCACCGACCTTGCAGTTCAAACAACTTTGCAGTCTGATGCATTAGCCCACAGTGCCACACCAGGACTCTAGGTGCTTAAAAATATATTTTGTAACTTTCCATGAAAAGCATACTATTAATTTTATCTATCATTATTGTCTTACCAAGTTCCTACAAGTAGATGTAGAAATGCCATAAGCATAAATTTTCATGAAGCAATCTTGAAATACAAGGAAATGAAGATGTCAAAGACAATTATTTTTTCCCATATTAATTTTCTTTGAGAACTGCAGCTAAAAGGGAATTATGTTTACTTCTTCTGACATTCATGCCTATTTATGAAGATAATATTGAAACTCCCACAAGGCTTCCAAAGGATTCCTTCTAGTATAAAATTAACCTATAGGGCATTGTAGACTAATCAACAAATCTCCTTTGATATACCAATTTGTAACTATTACACTTACAGGGTTTCTTCTTTTTTTCTATTGAAATCAAAAGCAATACAGGTTCATTGCAAAAAAAAAAAAAAAAAATGTAAATGAAGGCAGCACAAAGAAAAATTACTATAATCTCAATAGCCATGATGTAACTCTTCCCAACATTAGTCCATATGTGTAACTCTATTTATATATGCTCTATTATGAGTAAATTCATATATACTTTTAAAAATAAAATTATGGGGACCATCAAGGGAGAAGTGCGGAGAGCGGGACCCTACCCAGAGAAGCAATGATGCCTGAGATGGAGGCAGAGATGATGACGTGGAAATATCGAGTAGCTGGGGCCTTTAGACCCAGAGAAGGAGAGGGGCTGTGTGCTGACGACCGGGGAACAGGCTTGTAATGTATACCCTTTGGTTGGTTGATGATGCATGAAAGAGATTGTAACCATAGCAATGAAATGATATACAATAGGATGAATGTAAAACTAATGTTCTCCCATGTAAACTATCACATAATTCACAATAAAACATCAAAAATAAATAAATAAATAAATAAAATTATGGTACCGCTAGACATAACTTTTAGTGAACTATTTTCAATTTTATAATACATTATTTTTTATTTTTTAATGTCATTATTTTGACATGGTTATACAACTTCTCATGAGAATCTTTCATTATAAAGTCCTGGTGTTAATGTGCCAGACTGCAAAGCAGTTTGAACTGCAAGGTCTGTGGTTCAAGTTCACCAGTTGTTCCTAGAAAACCCTATAAAGGGTCGCAATGGGTCAGAACTGACTCGATGGCACTTAACAACAACAACAAATGACTGAAATTAATTGATGCAAATATATACTCATTGCTAAGAATTTATTACAATTATGCAATGGAAAAAATCTCATAAGAATGAAGAAGACAGGCATAAGTTAAATCCTGACTTCAACTCTAAGACTTTGCATTTTGACTTCTTCATCTGCGAAATAAAGTTAATAATTCTTGCTACAGGTTGTTGCAAGAATTAAATAAGAGGATCAGTGCAGAACCTTAACAATGTCTCTAGAAACTAGTAAGATAGTAAGGGCTCAGTAAATGGTAGCGCTAACTATTTTTGTTAATTATTTTAGTGATTAATGCTTAAAACACTTAAACTCTTTTGTTAGAGGATGGTGTTTTGAGTGAGCAAAATTGTCATTTTGTAACAGTGGCAATTTAATTTTCCATATAAAATAACTTCTACATCTGGCTCCAGTCACCTTCAAATTGGCACAGAAACCAGAGAAGAG